CTGTAGGATTATCTTGGCTACAATCTGTACATAGCAGATCCAGCTCTTTCTTCAATGGTGCTGCTGGGCGAGTTTGAACTGCCAATCTGCAGGTTAGTAATCCAATGCAAACGATTTGCACCTCCCAGGGATCATTAATTAAAATGTTGGTAGGTGCCATTGAGTCACTTCTGACTCACAACGACCCCATGTACAACAGAACAAAATACTGCCCAGTTCTGCACCATCCTCACACTCATTGCCATGCTTGAGCCCATCATTGCAGCCACTGTGTCAACAGCTACTTTATTTTATAGAGTACAACTCTATTCCAGGGACTTTCCCAAGTCTGTTTCTCATATTGTCACAATTTATTATCCCAACAACACTTTGGTGTAGGTACTATTATTTTTATTCACATTTGGCAGATGAAGAAACTGAGGTTCTTTGTGGCTGTGTAGTTGTCCTCCAGTCACAGAGCATGTCTGACAGAGTTGGAATTTGATCCTGCCAGGTCTATCTCATTCCTGGTCTGCCTCACTGGATCCATGGCTTTGCTGGGAAGCAGAGAGAAAGAAGAGAGCAGTAGGAAAGCAGGGTTGGATGGTGGGGCCTTGAATGTCATACTCAGGAGCCTAATGAATTTCTTTTTTTCTTATATTCTGATTTTGGTGAAAATATCCCCAGCAGAACATACACCCATTTATCAACTTCTACATGTACAATCCAATAACATTGTTTAAATTCTTCACGTTGGGTCAACATTTGCATTATCTCCACCCATACTGTTTCACCACCATTGATTTAGACTTACTACCCCCTAACTTTTTCATCTATGAGTAGGTTGACAATTCTTTAAAAAAGCACATTGCTCATGGCAAATATTCTGTACTAATTTAGCTAAACAGTTGTTTAATTTAAAAATAATTTCAGGACATATTTTCAGTTCATGGTTTGAAGATTTTCTCAGAGTGATAGAAGCAGGGGCTCCTCCAGTCTCAATAGGTCCAATCAATGTGGATTCCTAAAGAATTTGACATTCTACTCTACATTTTCCCTCTTTTGATCAAGATTCAGCTGTTGATTCCTTGATCAAAATGTTCAGCAATGGGAGTTGAGCACCATCCAGTCTTCTGGTCTCATGGCTAAGGAAGCAGTTATATCTGCAATCCAGTACCTTGACCTCAGTAGTTTTTCCACAAGCTGTGTAAGCTACTGACAACAGCATAGAGCAGTGGTGTGGATGCCCTGGGGTGATTTTTGTCTGAGTCTGAGGTGCTGTTGGGAAATCTCAATGTGTGCCTACCCAGAGACACGTATAGAGGAAAGACCCAGGCCTAGAGAAAGAGATTGAAAAAGTATTTCTGATGTGGTGAGTTTTGAAGTTCTGAGAATGCCTTTGCCTTTGTTTCCAGATGGAAAAGAGACTGAATGAGGAGGGGCTTGCCCTTGGAGAAAACCCTACAGTTAAGGCACATAAGAGAAGAAACAGTAAAAGATGGGACTTTTCAGGGAGGTAGATGAAGGGCATACATATGAAAGGGTGAAAGAAGGAAGGGAAAGAAAAGAGCAAATGGCTCTGTGAAGTCTAACCCAATTGTTTTTTGTTTTGTTTTGTTTTGTTTACCATTGAGAAAAATAAGTGCT